GAGGACATTGTTCCTCCTTCTCGAGCAGAGCATCTGGTGGATTTGAACTGTGCACCTCTGAACTTGCAGTTGCAGCTTCTTGCCACTAGGCCACCAGAGCTCGCCTGGGGTCATGGTTTTATGAGACATCTCGGTTAACTGGCCTAATAACGTGTTTAGTAATTTTTTTTCTACCTCTTAGTGTAATACATAGTACCTAGTGTCCTGGAAGCTTCTGAGCAGCCAACCAAGGTACAGCTGGTCTACAACTAGTCTCTTACTCATTTGAAGCAACAGAGAAGAGTCAATACAAGGAAAATATGGAAGTGTGGATAAATGCCTCTGTGAAAAACTGTCCCTTCTGCCATGAGGCCAGAAGAACCAAATGGTGTCCAGCTACCATTACTAAACATTTTGATCAAAGACATCATAGAAGAATCCTGATCAAAAGTGTGAAATGCAGAACAGAATTTCTCATGGACTCTAGGTTTTCCAGATCCATGAGGATGAATGAATCCCTGAAATTACTGTCCTAAAATAATCCTTACACCTTAAACCAAAAGTATCCTTTGAAGTATTCTTAAAACCAAACAAGTTTAGCTTAACTAGTTTAAAAAAATGCACAATACTGCCTTGAGCATGTTGTTTTATGATCTACCTATATCGGATAAAATTAACAAAGCAACTAAAAAAACTTAAAAATTTTAGGGGGCTCTAAGTTTACGTTAATGAAGAGAAACAACTGTGGGAAAAGTGGCTGAAAATGGCTGCAAAACTCAGATAATAATTGCCTCAACTCAAGTCACTGACGAAATCAAGTCACAACTGACTCCCAATTGGTTTTCTGGGAGGCTGTAAGTCACAAGAGGGAAGAAAATGCCCATTTCTGTTCCCTGGAGCCACTGATGGATTTGAACTTCAAAGAGTTATCACTTTTAGCTTAGCAGCACAACTCTCTACAGCCTACACTACCAGAGCTCTCCAGATAAACTGTCCCTAATTTGTAATTTTTTTTTTAAATGAAGTGGTTTAGCTTTTACTGTACAGATTCTCAACAAGAAAAAAAGAAGATTTACAGCCCAGGAAACTCTACAGGGCAGTTCTAGTCTAGGGTCACTATGAGAGTCACTAGACGGTACATAGCAATATATGTGCATTTCCCTAGATATCCTGTTAAAATATAGGTTGGAAATACAAATCCTCAGCAGAGTGTTAAATCAGAATGAATCAGTTGGAAGCCTGGCTTTTGAGATATAAAAGAAGTTTAAGCACAAAAGCAAATATGTACCAATGAGGGGAAACTGATGCCCCTTAGAGGTTACCCAAGAACTAAAGAAGAAAAACTGAAAGTTTCCCTCAGAGTGGTTAAAGCAAGTCTTCCTCTTCTAAGGGACATTTAGACTTCTAAAATGAGAAAACAAATTTGTGTTCATGAAAGCCACCCACTTATGGCATTTCTATTATGCTGTTATTGTTAGGTGCCATGAAATTAAATATGACTCACAGCTCTCAACAAGAAAAAGGTAAACAATCCAATCACAAAATGGGCAAATAAGACATTCAGATGGCAACAAACAAAATCCCTAGCTATCAGAAATTAAAATAAAAAAATTTCAGAAATGCATATCCCTAGCTATCAGAAATGCAAATCTCACCCTAGCAACAGTAGCAAAATTCAACAGGACAGCAAACAACAAATGCTGGCAAGGTTGTGGAGAGACTGAAACTTTTTTTCACTGCTGGTAGGGATGTAAAATGGCACAAACACTATAGAAGGCAACCTTGCACTTTCTCAGGAAGTTGGCAATAGAAAATCATTTGACCCAGCAATTCCATTACTGGGACTATATCCTAAAGAAACCAGAACCACAACTCAAACATATATGCGTGCCCATGTTTACTGATGCATTATTCACAACAGCAAAGAGATAGAAGCAACCCAACTGTCCATCAATAAATAAATGGATAGAAAAACTATGGTACATCCCCACAATAGAATACTATGCAACACTGAAAAACAATAGTAAAACATTATATAACAAGGGAGAGCCTTGAGGACACTATGTTAAGTGAAATATCTCAAACACAAAAAGACAAATCTTGCATAACATTGCTGTTATAAAATAGAACAGACATTGGGAAAGCTGGGGAGGGAACAGGGAAAGACTGGCTAGATAATGAGCACTGAATTAGAATAGATGAGGAGGGAAACTATTCAAAAAAATGATTATGCATTTTAAGTATGAGAATAATGTGGAACAAGGGGTGCATTGTAAGGTGGGCTGGGGAAAAGAAAGAGGGGAGAAGAAAAAAAAAAGTATGACTCATAGCAACCCTAGAACAACAGACCTGAACCATATCCTATCCTGTGCCATCCTCACAATCTCGGACACAGTCGAGTCCATTATTGCAGTCACTGTGGCAATCCACCTCACTGAGAGTCGTCTTCTCTTTCACTGACCCTTTCCAAACATGATGTAATTCTCTAAAAAAACCCCTCTCCTAAGCAATATACCCAAAGTATGTGAGACGAAGCTTTGTCATCTTTATGCCTAAGGAATATTCTGGCTGTACTTTCTCCAAGATATACCTGTTTGTTCTTTTGATAGTCCATAGGATATTAAAGACTCGTCTCCAACACTACAGCTCAAAGGCATCAGTTCTTGTTATTCTTATGCACTATCTGGCTCTCAGGTGCACAAAAAGTGACTGAAAAAGCCATGCCCTGAATTAGGAGTGCCTTAGTCTTCAAACTAGTATCACTCCTCCTCAGTAAAAAAAAAGTCCCTGATAGCAGACTTCCCAAATGCAGTATGTCTCTGATCTCTCAGACTGCTGGTACCAAGGTTGTTGATTATGGATCCAAGTATGATGAAATCATTGACAATATCAATCTTCTCCCATCTATCATAATGTTGACTATGGGTCCAATGGTGAGGATTTTTGTCTTCTTGATGTTAAGACACAATTCATAATGAAGGGTATAGACTTTGAGCATCTGCAGCAAGCATTTTAAGTCCTCCTCACTTTCAACAAGCAAAGTTATGTCATCTGCATAACTTAGGTTGTCGATGAGTCTTCCTCTGATCCTGACGCTATATTCTTTTTCACCAAGTCCAGGTTCTCACATGATTTGCTCAATATACAGAGTGAACAACACTGACACACACCTTTTCTGATTTTAAAACCATGCAATGTTCCCTTGCTCTATTCAAACAACAGCTTCTTGGTCTAGGGATAGGTATTTGAGAATAGGAATCCCAGAACATTTAATTACGTTAATAAGAACAAATTCTGTTACAATAGCATTTAAAGAAACTAGCACTAAGAAACACCATTTTACCTTATTCTTAGGAAACTTGTTCAAACAGCATAAAACTCATTCACTCACTTAACTGAAATAGGAGAGATGAGCTTGAAATTAATTTGCTCATTATGAAATATACCAAAATACCAAACCTATAGTCAACTGAGAGACAGAAAACAAAAACAGTAAACCAAGAGATACTCAATTTGTATAGTGGGAGTTTCCTCTGTAAAAAATTAAAATTCTGATTATATTCTGTCTTCTAAACTTCCTGTCTAACCTTGAAAATCATTTAAGATCATGCACTATTCAACTTTATATCCTATTCCTATCTTATAATGGCTCTCACTTCTAGGGGGTGAGCTCACTGACCCCAAAACATACCATAGTTCGATCTCCCCTCCTTGCCTTTTTCAGTCCATTATTTAAGATTTCCTAGACTATCTTATCTCATTCTTTCCAGTCTTTCCTCTTTTTCTCTGTGCTTCTCATCAAGTGATACCCTATCAATGTTCAATTCCCTCTTCCAAGGAAACCTTTACAACATCTTATATGGAGAGCTCACTGGAATTGGAGTCAAAGCACTAGATTCTAACCTTAGCTTTCCACTGCCTGGCTTTCTAGTCTTTTTTAAGTAGCTCTCAGAATGGTGATCTTTTAACACAGTAGCCTTCAATAATAACTTTGTGACAAACTGTAGACAAGAAATACCTACCCAGTTCTGTTCTGACAATGAAAGGGCCTGAAAAATTTTTAACACGAAGCTGACTGATTCAAGCTGTTTACAAACCCTGCTACAAATATTTGCCAAGCTGCCAGATATAGCACTTCATTATATACTGTTTTTGGCCACTGTCCATCATTTCTTATTTGCTAGTATTATTGGTTGTCATCTTGAGGACAGTACCCCTATATTTTAGCTTTGCACTGATGAATATCAAAACAGAGTGAAAAACTTGAGGATCAAATACAGTAAGTTTAAAATAAGCTTTAAAAATCAAGCATTAAATACTTTAGTAAAACAAATGCTTAAAAATATTTCTTAAGCAATTGAACTCATGCTGATTTACAACCCTCTTTCAGTTATATGAATGGTTCACATGTTAACTGCAAAATACTTCTTTAATCACACAAAGCAGCTGATGGATTTGAACTGCTTGCTTCTGGTATGGCAGTGGAGTATCTTTACCACTAAGCCAGAGAGCTTATCCCTATTCAGATCATCATAAAACTATAGTTCTCATAGTTTTAAATAGATCATTGTATAAAGTTTTTCATTCTTAGCATTAATGATATTTGTGTATGAAAAAGATGAATCGTTCAGCAAGGGAGATTAGAAAAGATAAACTGGAGACAGAGATAAATCACACTGCTTTCTAAAGACCAGTTATAACATGATCTTGACTAATGAAATAAGCAAACGGAGAAACAGTTTTCTAAGTTAATATAAGAATGATAATTGAAACCAACAACAGGGATGATATTGTCTGGGTAGACTATATGGAGTGAAGAGAAAATAAGAACAAACAAAATCCTAGGACATCATGTTAAGTGGCAGGAAAGGAAGAACCAACAAAGGAGACCAAGGACAAAGGGCCTGAGAAGGGAGGTAAAGACAGTTCCTATACTATTCTCCATATTAATTTTTTAAAATTAGTTCGGGATTTTTGTTTGTTCATTTGTTTTTACTTAAATAGACTTTAATTGTTCATACCTGGTTAGGATAGGGACCATGTCCTGCCCACTGCCATGTTCTTTTTCCCACTGCTCCAGCAGGGTAGTGAGCTCAGCTTTGGAGTCCACATGTACCACTACTGTAGTCATGGCTTGACCTAAAAAAAGGCAAAAATAACAATAAATTAACACAAGCAATTATCTGGCATGCTTCTTGCAAAATGAAAAAGGAAAGAAGGAGAAATGACAAGCACAAAAATTGTCAAGGCAAGGCGAAAATAATCTGTGTATCTTTTCAGTTACTTTATTTTTTGTGCAGTGGGAAACTCTATACTGGGCACGTGTCTACTCCTCAAAGCATGACAATTCAGTTCTTTCATTGTCTAAGCCTCAGGTTACTCAACTGTCAAACGAGGTAGGGAGTTGTATTAAAATGCTGTTGTTGTTAGGAGGTATCAAGTTGAGTACAACTCATAGCAACCCTATGAACAGCAGATCTGAGCCCTGTCCTATCCTGTGCAGTCCTCACAATCTCTAGTATACTCAATGAGCCCATTGCTGTAGTCACTGTGTCAATCCACCTGCTTGAAGGTCTTTCTCACCTACACCATCCCCCTAGCTTTCCAAGCATGATGTACCTCTCTAAGGACAGCCTCTCCTAGCAACATTCCCAAAGTATGGGAAACAAAGCTTTATGATGTTTGTCTCCAAGGAGCATTCTGGCTGCATTCTCCAAGACATATCTGTTGGTCTTTTGGCAGTCCATGGGATATTCAGTACTCTTCTCCAATATTAAAGTCCAAAGACATCTATTCTAATTCTTAACTTTTCTAGGATCAGAACCTTCTTTAAAAATCAGACAAAAGTCATCCTAGAAAGTCCCTATTATGGCCCTTTCTCTCCTCAAGCCCTGGTGGGGCCATGATAAGCACTGTGCTAACCAAAAAGTCAGCAGTATGAACCACCAGCCATTCTGTGGAACAAAGATGTGGCAGAGTGATTCATAAAACCCAAGAGGACAGTTCTATTCTGTCCTACAGGGTCGCTGTAATATTGATAATCTCAATAACTACAACTTTAGTTTTGGTTTCCCTCCTCAAAATGCACAAATCTAATACAAAATAAATTCCTCATTTAGAAGATCTGAGGCTCAAAATTTGAGGCTACAGCTTTTTAATATGTTGTTGTTGTTGTTGTGTGCCATTAAGTTGGAACCAACCCACAGCTGACCTTCCAGTGGATTTTCAGAGTCAGTAATCGCACAGGAAGAGATTTTCCATCCTTCTCCAGTGAAGCAGATAGCAGATATGAACTATGTGACTTCAGGATTACAGTGCAGCTCCTTACTACTAAACCATTAGAGCTCCCTTGTTTAATAGGAAATGTGGCAAAAACAACTCGACCAAAACCCTTTCTTTTCCTAATTTCAAACTTGATTCAGATTTCACCATTTTTTCCAGTAGTGGCCTTTTTTCTGTTCTAGGATATCATCTTAGATACACTGTCATCAGGTCTTCTTAGTGTTCACTAGTTTTTGAGTGTTTCCTTATTTTTTAAGACTCTGTACTGAGAATATTAGCCAAGCATCCTAAAAAAAGTCTTCCAAATTTGTGCTTGTTTGATGTTAGTCTCATGATTAGACTAAGATTATGGAGTTATAGAAAAAAATACAGTGACGATGAAATGCTTTGCCACTGAATCACATCATGGAACACAAAACATTTACATGACACTGCTGATGACCTTGATAACTTAATTAAGGTAGTGTTTTGCCAGGCTTCTCCACTGTAAAGTTTCTCCTTTCCCTACAATACTCTGAAATCACTAAGTCTAGCTGACTAGAGATGCAAGTGGGGAAAATAAGAGGACTAAATTCTATTTCCTGGAGAGAGCAGTGTCTACATATATTATCTGAATTATTCTATATGAAAGATTTTTCTTCCCCCCCATATAAGTATTTATTCAGTCACTTATAGATGTACTTATCATGCTTGGAAGGACGAAGGACAGTGCAAGAGAGGGAGATCCTGGATGAGATTGATTGACTCAGTGACTTGGGGAGGATGTGTCAGAGACAATAAGGATGGCTCAGGATAGAGCAGAGTTTAGAGCTGTTGTATACAGGGTCACAACAAGTCAGTCACACAAGTGACTCGATGGTACTTAAATAAATACAGACTCATTTTAGACTTTTTTTTTTTTAATTTTTTTAAAATAATTTTAAGGAACATTTACAGAGAATTTGGATTTCCATTCATTCATTGCTGCACTTCTCTCCCCGACCAGCCCTCTCCCCCCGCCCCCCAGTTCGCTCCTCTCTTTCAAAAGTAAAAGAAAGACTCCCTCCCTGGTACACAATCCCCC